CCAGTTTATTTCAACTACATTCCAGACTTTATCCTTAGTCTTAATTGTAAAAACACACCTATGGCTTTAACCTTAGGTATAAAATTGTCAGGTCAGATTACCAAACTGGTAAAAGAGACTCAATCTCTAATACTTATCTATAGGATATGCTATAAATGCATGACTACAAACCTGAATGTGCATGCACTTAAGAAACATCATAAAGATAAAATAGTGATCATCCAAGCCAATACTAGTGATTCTAACATCCAAGTCCCCAAAAGACTTGAATGGAAGAATGTTCAACTCCCAGAATCTTGGACAGTTGAAAATGAAAATTATAATAAGGATAGTGCAAATACATCGACTAACCTAGAAAACATCCAATAGTTATCTGATGGTTAGTAAGAATCTCCTTTGATTCTTCAAGATCCAATAGATCGAGCAGATCATTTGATAAGCCTGTCCAAATTAATGAAGACAAAAAATTTGATGTTTATTCTAGCTTCTTCAAAAGAGACAAAGAATTAACAGAAGAAATAGAAAGACAAATTAAATTAAAAGGAATCGATAATTTCACACCACAATTAGTAGACCGTGTTACACTCCACATCAGAGTGTTCCACAAACTAGTCGTAGGAATGAAGAAGAAGAAGATGACTTCACTCCTTCACCTACAGCCAGTGACCTCCAGAGCACTGCCCCAATAGATCACCAGTTACTCCTGATTAGGAAAGAAAATAGATTATTCTTACCTAACATGATTAAACTGAAAAAAGATTTTAATTCTGTTGAGAATGAATCTAAAAGATAAAAATACTTTAAAAGATTCGCTCACACTCAACATAAAGAAATAATTGCACAATGAGTAAAAGTAATGCACAAAATAGAATCAAAAATTCTATTTTTTGATTATTTAGAAACCCATCATCCAGAAGTAAAAGTATTAACAAAATATAAATGGAAGACACTAGATAATTCTATAAAAACATCTAGCCATCCTCCAGCAGAAACTATTTTAGTTGATCATTGAAATTCAGAGATAAAGGCTTCTCCCTTTAAGAAACCTACTAATAAATCTGACACAAAGATGATTGAACAAAATAATTCACAAACCAAAACTTAATAACTATTGGAAAATAGCTTGATAAAATTGAATCTAAAATCGATGAAATCAAGCCATCCAGTAAAAAATTGGAGAAACCTTTAATTCATCTCCCTGAAGATAGATCCGGATTAGGTTTAAAAGATAAGCAAGCAATCCAAAAGATTAAAGAACTTATCTCTAAACAAGAATTCAAATCTGGACCATCTTAAGTAACAGTTATCAACCAAACTTCTAATAATTCAGAAACCAGTAGCTCAAAAAGCCTACCTGATTCTGAAATTTAGAAATTAGAAGAACAATTTGATAACCTCAAGATTAACAAATTAACTTTTCGAAAGGTTAATCTAACTAGTATTACAAAAAATTGGTATACCAAATCAATACCACCAGATCTTCAATTTGAAAAGAAAAATATTAGTAATCAGTTTTCTGTTCAATCCAATAAACTTTATGAATGGAACATAGATGGATTAAGTGAATAGAAAATCCTTAACAAAATTAGTCATCTTTCCATGGTAGCCAATAGCTACGTCTCAAATCTTAATCTATCAGAACCATAATTAGTTGACATGATCACCTCTGGTTTCACAAGAGTATTAAGTAATTGGTGGACTAATTACCTTACCCAAGAGTCAAGAGATGGCATCAAACATGTTGTTGTCCTTGATGATGAAGACATACTATTTTCAATGAAAGAATTGGTAAAGCCAAAGATGATGGAATTAATACCCTCATCTTCGCCATAATCAAACATTTTGTTGGCACGCCTAATAACATTGAAGCTAGAGTCCATGACCAGCTTAGTAACCTTAGGTGCCCAACACTTAGTGACTTCAGATGGTACAAAGATGTATTCATCTCTAGAATCATGCTTAGGCCAGACTGTAATAAATCTTTCTGGAAAGAAAAATTTGTCAATGGCCTACCTNTATATATATTATTTCAATTCAGTAAATTATTGTTTAGTTTGGTCTATCCTTGTCACCTAGCCTTTGTCAGTTCAAGAGGGGAGAGTCTCAATTCAGTTCTGTTTGTAAGTCCTCGTGTGTAGGCAGCCTTAGGACACAGAGACATACCATGAGAACATGTATGTTAGGGGGTATGTACAATGGAGTCAAACTTATATATAAATTTACATAATTGAAAAATTAGATTTAATAATGANCAAGGACAGTGGAATCATTGAATATGATTCACTGACCTATGGTGATCTTGTTAGTACCATCCAAAAGGAAGGCCTCAGGATGTGTATTGACATGAAGATCCAACACTAATTAAAAAATGAAAAGAAAAAGACTAAATATGAAATGGATAATTTTTGTGAACAATATGGTCTTCCATCAGTAACACCATCTCGTAGGAAAGCCAAATCACACAAGCCTTATATTCATTCTAAAACCCACTATAAATGTAGTAAAAAGACTTTTAGGAGCCCCACTTACTATGCTGAATATAGCAAAAAACCCAAAAAAACTTGTAAGAAAAAATCCGGGAAAAAAGCTAAAACAGATTCAGACATTAAATGCTATAACTATGGTAAGAAAGGTTATATAAGCCCAGATTACCCAGTTAAAAAACAAGTTAAAAGATTAAATTTAACCCAAGAAGATGAAGAGAAGATTCTCAACATTTTTAGGTTAAACAATCTTCCCAATAGTGAAGAAAGTTCAGACGACTCAAGCAGCTCTGAAAGTTCTTCAAAATATCATTCAGCATCTAGCAACTCTAGTGAACCCAAAGTCAAATTAGGTTACAAAGATAGTTGCCTCTGTAAAACTATTAGGGTAATAATCAAACAGAATGAGGAAGAACACATTCTTATTGACTTAATCAGTAAGATTGAAAACCCAGATTTAAAGGTCAAATATATCAAAAAATTAAAAGATTTATTTGCTAAAAAAGACACAAAATAATCTTTTAATCAAAGACAGTTAATAAGTATAAACACCACAGTGGAAAGATTCAGTAAGGAGAAAAAGAAAGAAATCACCTTACAAAATCTCCAAAGTGAAGTTAATAAAATAAAATCTGAAATAAGAGAATTAAAAGCTCAAAACAAGAAACTTGCAAAAACTTTAACTCTTTTATCAACAGATAGTCTTGCCGACACAAAAAAATTCAATCCTGGAAAACAGTCAATAGTTGAAGAACAATCAGAGACAGAATCTCACGATGGAACAGACTTTCAAGGGATACCCATAACCTCCACCTTTCTAGTGGATCCTTTGGGTGTAACGAACATGTCATCCCACGATGGATGTTTCCAGGCTAATGATGATCATAGGATCAATCTAATTAATAAAATTAATTTTCAAAAATGGCATTCTAAAGTAAAAATCATCATTGATAATGATTTTGAATTAGAAATCATTTCCTTAATTGACACTGGTGCAGACGTAAACTGGTTCATAAAGATTTTATAAAGATTTCAAAAGTCAATTTCCATCCTGGTTTACATAGTGATGGTTTATTCACGGCCCCATTATTGAAATCTTTTCAGCTGATCTTCAAGATCAGATTATAGCATTCTCATCTATTTGTAGATGTAGTAAACATGAGAGTCAGTTTTCTATTTTACTAACATTTATTTGTAGGTACAAAGTCTCATAGATATGCAAATGGAAGTGAAAAATTATTGGTTATAATGTAGCTAGGCAATTTTATATTAAATGGTGGCTCAAGTTCCAAGAAGAACCAATAGTTAACCTGATAAAACAGGAGTTCTCAGTCAAGGTTTCAACCCTAGCAATGATTCTGGTAAACCTAACTCCAGTTGAACAGGTCATGCATTCTCTCAGGATTTCTGCTCTAGACAAGTCCAGAAAATCCATTAAGGAAGGACCCAAGAAAAGGAAATCCTCCTCTAAGGATTCCAGCAAACAATCCAAAAAGAAGTCAGTTGCCCTCATTGAACTAACATAACAACTTCTTCAACAAGCAGGCAGTGAGAACAGTTCATCAGTATCCTCATAGGCATCAGTCACTCCTACATTGGATCCCTTCCAAGACAGTCAGGACCCATATACAGGATATGATGATCTGATAGATATATCTATCCCATAATGGTACTTATCAATACGTGTGATAGCTTCAATCACTACTTTCTTCTTTAAAGAAAGAAAAGCTGTTTATTATATGTATCGATGAAGAATCATTTGATTCAACGGCCCTTTCTCTAAAAGCAGCCGCTAGTCCTTGTCCAAGATCTACTTTCCACCAAAAGTAGATTCCTTCAGACAACCGCAGGACCCACCTGCCACTCAAATTAGCATTTACCTTAGTAAAATCAATTCACTTCTACTTTCTCATCGAAAGGCTAAGGTGAAAATACTTTATCCAAGTTAAAGCAGCCACTAAAGACAATGGAGTAATCATTCCAGAGATTCTTTTAGAATTCCTTACCCCTATATAAAGATTTCAATCTTTACTATCTCGGTAGAAGTTGCTTTAAACTTCAGAGTTGTAACCTAAAAACTCTCCTAAGCCTTCCCTATACACAACTCACTAGTCTCATACACTATTCTCATATTGTAAGAAGCCTTCATCATGATGCAAATGAATAGCCTCTCACTCTTATCCCCTTACTCCTACTTGCTCATTAGTGCTAGTATTGTAAGTATTTATTTCTGTTATTGTAATTTGTATCTTGTTCATCTAAATAAGATTTTATAAAGAATTTTCTTTTAAAACACTCTATATGTTTACAGCTTGTGATTCTTCTAAATCATGTTTGTTGTTATTCCGCACTTGTTCCTAGATAGCCATCCAGGTATATATATATATATGTGTGTGTGTGTGTATAATCGACCGTTTTCAACAACCCCGTTTCAACCCTATTGTGAAAGAAACAAACGCTACCATCACACAGAACACAAAGCTACAAACCAAACTGTTCTTCTTCTTCTTCACATTTCTAACTCTTCAAACTAATTTTCTCTCTCTTCTTCCCCCATTTCCTCAACTGAATCTGAAGCATCAACTTCGCTGACAAGAAATCCACACACTGTCTCAGACTCAACACCTCCAACACAGCCTTTAACGTCTTCAACCTCACACAATCTGCCATTTTCATCACTCTCTCCAACCCACCCAACAACCCCTTCAACGCCCCCTCCACCAACCCATCCACCTGAGTCGTCGCCGAGTCACCGCCCTTGATTCGGCTTGCCAACCTCGCCAAGTCCACCATCCTCCTGTCTGTCATCGCCACATGTTGCCTTTCCATCTCTCCCTCCACCTTCTCCTCCTCAACCCTAATCTTCCCTCTCAAAACTTCAATTTTCTTCAACTGGTCCTCCGACAAATGTTTGCGAGACTCGCACCGGGTGAACGTGTCACCTGGACGGTGTCGACCAGTCGAAACACCATTGATGGCTTCCAACCAGTTATCCATAGATAAGCATTCTCTAGAGGGCTGAACCAGACTGGTGAAAAGCTGGCTAAGACGTCTTCATGAACCGCAGCCCATTTGGCTATGTAGCAGTCTTTGTGGTGGGCAGTGACTTTCTCCACCAAAGCTTCATGGTTTACTGATTTATGAGAGTGATCGTCTGAGACATTCAGAAGAAGTTGAAGATATTCTTCAAGTTGACATACCCATTTTTTGAAGAAGCCTGAGAACTCCTCTACAACTTATGTTTTCATCTTTAGAGAGAGAGAATGGACAGAAGAGTGAGATTTCAATATGAGACAGAACATATAAGACCATGATGTGGTATATATGAGAAGAGTAATGTTAGGTGGATTTAAAAATTAGATTTGATAATTGTAATCATTGAATAGGTAGTGGGTCCTAATAAATGTCGGGATCTACAGTGAAATCAATGATTAAAATTATCAAGTCTATTGTTTAAGTTCATGTAACATTAATCAGATGAGACTATGATGGGGTATATATACACACAACATATATGGGGTGAAGTGCAATGACGCCCCTTGTAGTTTTAGCCAATTTCACTGTTCCCCTATTGTATTTAAAATTATACTTAACTCCTTAGGATATGATAACATATAATAGGTTTTGTCTTCAGTCAAATGTGATCAATCTAAAATTTTAAACTCCCTATCTTGTAGTAATGTTAGATTAACTAAAAAAGGGAATAAAAAATAGGATTTGAATGATGTGTCATCGGTGTTTTTTATCCCATTTGATTTATTTAATATTTAAGATTTATTTATCGTATCAATTACCTTGTATTTCAAAACTAGACGGTCATTCCGTCAATATGACTTGAAGAGCCCATTTTGACTATTATATTTTAAAAGAGCAATGTTATATGAACTTAAATGTTGATTTGATTAGTCACTATCATTGATTTAACTATAAATTTAAGTATTTATTAGAACTCACTATCTATTTAATTAATGTGATTGATCAAGTCAATATTTTAAATCTAAATAATATTTTTCATTTTAAAATTAAATTGACAGATTCTAGATTCTAATGGGGGAAACATCACAATTGTAAGGATAAATGATTTAGTATAATTTAGAAAGAGTAATGTCATTGTGATTTAAAAAATTAATTTAATTTATTAATTTAATGATATAATAGTAATGTGGTCCAATAAAACTATTGTGACGGAACTATTAGACTTTTTTATTGGACATTATTAAGTCAATTTTTTTAGGTACCAATAATATTAATCATCTAAAAGACAAGAAACTTTTTTGAATGTGTTTAATTAACCACATGATACAGAGGGTATGCAGTAAAATTGTTAGAAACTAGGAGGGTTGTCATTATAATTACCCCTTAAACATTTACATAATTTTTATGTATGAATATATACGGCTTATGTGTTCATTGTATCTTTGTAAGTGTGTAAGTGTGACCAGAGGGAGGGCGGAGACAAGGGCCATGCAGCGCGTGGCCTTTGCATGTCTTACTTGCAGCTCTCAGCCGCATGTCTATGTGTTTAGGGTGTTTTTGGGTAAAAAAATTGGGCTGGATTTCTTTTTTTATATCTTAATCTATTCAAGTTAAATCTACTCATCTACTTTAAAACTCATCTAAGCCATATATGTAATCCTAACCTTTATTTGGAAAATAAAGATGTAATTCAATGATCCCATAGGTTGCTCAAATAATTTTATAATAATTTATCATTTTACCCATGACTTTATCCATTTCAATTCAAATCCATCCAATTCTAAGTTTTTTTTATTTTTTATTTTTTTAAAAAAATAAAATTTTATTTATTAACAAAGCAATATTTACGAGAAGCAAAAGAAAGGCGCAGATGCCTTAACAAGAAAACCTAAAGCAACCTAAGGCACAGACGCCTTCCATAACAAGAAAAAACAGAAGTCCATAGAAACCAGTCAAAAAAGACTTCGGCAGCATCCTCCAAAAACTTTAACAGCAACAAAGTTTGCTAAAACCCATCAAGACAGCAGTAGCATTTCCCATTCCAGACTTAAGCCTCAAGTCTGCTTCAAACAAATCAACACTACTGTTAACAGATTGAGACAAAAAGCCGCAATCTAACACTCATAAGCCCGGTTAAAAGGTGCGGAATCTTCCTCAATATTTTCAAGAAAAGTCATGGACACTCACAAAGACCCAAAACTGCATTCACAATAATTAAAGAGTCACATTCAATTATTAGGCTTCAACATTTCTTGCGTTCAAGCGCCTTTGAAGTTGAATGCAAGAACATACTCACAAACCATTCAGAACATACTCAATTCAAATAGTACTCAATTCAGAACCTCGACTTCAACCCGACAAAATAAGAACAGAACAGCATCTTTCCTTTGCAAAAGGTTAAAAGAACCTGAAAGAAATTAGAGGGTGAAGCAGTAATTAAGAAGTAGAAAGGGCGCAATAAAGCAAGCTGCCTGTCCCTAAACAAAGACAAATTGCATTGCCGCGGATTCCAGGACANTTTAAGTTCATGTAACATTAATCAGATGAGACTATGATGGGGTATATATACACACAACATATATGGGGTGAAGTGCAATGACGCCCCTTGTAGTTTTAGCCAATTTCACTGTTCCCCTATTGTATTTAAAATTATACTTAACTCCTTAGGATATGATAACATATAATAGGTTTTGTCTTCAGTCAAATGTGATCAATCTAAAATTTTAAACTCCCTATCTTGTAGTAATGTTAGATTAACTAAAAAAGGGAATAAAAAATAGGATTTGAATGATGTGTCATCGGTGTTTTTTATCCCATTTGATTTATTTAATATTTAAGATTTATTTATCGTATCAATTACCTTGTATTTCAAAACTAGACGGTCATTCCGTCAATATGACTTGAAGAGCCCATTTTGACTATTATATTTTAAAAGAGCAATGTTATATGAACTTAAATGTTGATTTGATTAGTCACTATCATTGATTTAACTATAAATTTAAGTATTTATTAGAACTCACTATCTATTTAATTAATGTGATTGATCAAGTCAATATTTTAAATCTAAATAATATTTTTCATTTTAAAATTAAATTGACAGATTCTAGATTCTAATGGGGGAAACATCACAATTGTAAGGATAAATGATTTAGTATAATTTAGAAAGAGTAATGTCATTGTGATTTAAAAAATTAATTTAATTTATTAATTTAATGATATAATAGTAATGTGGTCCAATAAAACTATTGTGACGGAACTATTAGACTTTTTTATTGGACATTATTAAGTCAATTTTTTTAGGTACCAATAATATTAATCATCTAAAAGACAAGAAACTTTTTTGAATGTGTTTAATTAACCACATGATACAGAGGGTATGCAATAAAATTGTTAGAAACTAGGAGAGTTGTCATTATAATTACCCCTTAAACATTTACATAATTTTTATGTATGAATATATACGGCTTATGTGTTCATTGTATCTTTGTAAGTGTGTAAGTGTGACCAGAGGGAGGGCGGAGACAAGGGCCATGCGGCGCGTGGCCTTTGCATGTCTTACTTGCAGCTCTCAGCCGCATGTCTATGTGTTTAGGGTGTTTTTGGGTAAAAAAATTGGGCTGGATTTCTTTTTTTATATCTTAATCTATTCAAGTTAAATCTACTCATCTACTTTAAAACTCATCTAAGCCATATATGTAATCCTAACCTTTATTTGGAAAATAAAGATGTAATTCAATGATCCCATAGGTTGCTCAAATAATTTTATAATAATTTATCATTTTACCCATGACTTTATCCATTTCAATTCAAATCCATCCAATTCTAAGTTTTTTTTATTTTTTATTTTTTTAAAAAAATAAAATTTTATTTATTAACAAAGCAATATTTACGAGAAGCAAAAGAAAGGCGCAGATGCCTTAACAAGAAAACCTAAAGCAACCTAAGGCACAGACGCCTTCCATAACAAGAAAAAACAGAAGTCCATAGAAACCAGTCAAAAAAGACTTCGGCAGCATCCTCCAAAAACTTTAACAGCAACAAAGTTTGCTAAAACCCATCAAGACAGCAGTAGCATTTCCCATTCCAGACTTAAGCCTCAAGTCTGCTTCAAACAAATCAACACTACTGTTAACAGATTGAGACAAAAAGCCGCAATCTAACACTCATAAGCCCGGTTAAAAGGTGCGGAATCTTCCTCAATATTTTCAAGAAAAGTCATGGACACTCACAAAGACCCAAAACTGCATTCACAATAATTAAAGAGTCACATTCAATTATTAGGCTTCAACATTTCTTGCGTTCAAGCGCCTTTGAAGTTGAATGCAAGAACATACTCACAAACCATTCAGAACATACTCAATTCAAATAGTACTCAATTCAGAACCTCGACTTCAACCCGACAAAATAAGAACAGAACAGCATCTTTCCTTTGCAAAAGGTTAAAAGAACCTGAAAGAAATTAGAGGGTGAAGCAGTAATTAAGAAGTAGAAAGGGCGCAATAAAGCAAGCTGCCTGTCCCTAAACAAAGACAAATTGCATTGCCGCGGATTCCAGGACAGCCACCGTTTGGACCTTGACATTAGAAGCACGTGCTACCAACTTCAAAGGGGCTTGAATGCAAGAAATGTTCAAGCAATTGGGCCTCTACACATCACTGCCGAAGAGAGAGAGAGAGAACAGAACTCAGCTTTCCATTCAATTCAAGCTTATTCCACAGAGGAGAGAGAGAGAGAGCGAGAGAAAGAGAGGGAGAAAGCGCGCACACACACACACTCACACTCTTCCGCCATGGCAGCTCGAAAAAGAGCTTCAGGAGACAGCATCAACTCCACCAAACCACCGCCATCAGACTCAAACCAACCCAAATCCAAACCCCAAGAAACCATCTCAACAGACCCACCAATCCTGCAGACCTCAGGAAGCTCTAGAGGATCAAGAGGCTTAGGACCCATGACACAAAACAGAGTATCCCTCCAATTAGCAGACCTTGACTGATACAGATCGAAAGAGAGAGAGAGAGAGAGAGAGAGAGACCTATTCGTCGAAGAGGGGGAACACATGTGCCACTGACCTTCGTCGGAGAACAGACAGAGCGAGAGACCTGCGAGAAGCTTCCCCTTCGCCTTCATCGTCGTCGTTGCTTGGGTGCTTCTCAGCCAAGGATCCCAACGAATGGTTGGACGAAGTGAAAAAGGTAGGAAAGTTTGGCTATGCAGGGTAAAAATGTCATTGCGTCTCTTATTCACTTGGCAAGCTTTGTAACCCATGAAAGGGACAGGNCTTCAAACAAATCAACACTACTGTTAACAGATTGAGACAAAAAGCCGCAATCTAACACTCATAAGCCCGGTTAAAAGGTGCGGAATCTTCCTCAATATTTTCAAGAAAAGTCATGGACACTCACAAAGACCCAAAACTGCATTCACAATAATTAAAGAGTCACATTCAATTATTAGGCTTCAACATTTCTTGCGTTCAAGCGCCTTTGAAGTTGAATGCAAGAACATACTCACAAACCATTCAGAACATACTCAATTCAAATAGTACTCAATTCAGAACCTCGACTTCAACCCGACAAAATAAGAACAGAACAGCATCTTTCCTTTGCAAAAGGTTAAAAGAACCTGAAAGAAATTAGAGGGTGAAGCAGTAATTAAGAAGTAGAAAGGGCGCAATAAAGCAAGCTGCCTGTCCCTAAACAAAGACAAATTGCATTGCCGCGGATTCCAGGACAGCCACCGTTTGGACCTTGACATTAGAAGCACGTGCTACCAACTTCAAAGGGGCTTGAATGCAAGAAATGTTCAAGCAATTGGGCCTCTACACATCACTGCCGAAGAGAGAGAGAGAGAACAGAACTCAGCTTTCCATTCAATTCAAGCTTATTCCACAGAGGAGAGAGAGAGAGAGCGAGAGAAAGAGAGGGAGAAAGCGCGCACACACACACACTCACACTCTTCCGCCATGGCAGCTCGAAAAAGAGCTTCAGGAGACAGCATCAACTCCACCAAACCACCGCCATCAGACTCAAACCAACCCAAATCCAAACCCCAAGAAACCATCTCAACAGACCCACCAATCCTGCAGACCTCAGGAAGCTCTAGAGGATCAAGAGGCTTAGGACCCATGACACAAAACAGAGTATCCCTCCAATTAGCAGACCTTGACTGATACAGATCGAAAGAGAGAGAGAGAGAGAGACCTATTCGTCGAAGAGGGGGAACACATGTGCCACTGACCTTCGTCGGAGAACAGACAGAGCGAGAGACCTGCGAGAAGCTTCCCCTTCGCCTTCATCGTCGTCGTTGCTTGGGTGCTTCTCAGCCAAGGATCCCAACGAATGGTTGGACGAAGTGAAAAAGGTAGGAAAGTTTGGCTATGCAGGGTAAAAATGTCATTGCGTCTCTTATTCACTTGGCAAGCTTTGTAACCCATGAAAGGGACAGGTTACATTTAACCCATGTAGCTTGGACAAAAAAGACTGTAATATTCGGGTCATAGTTTGACCTGGATTTTTATCCTTACCCCTTTTCCTTCCCAAACAAGGGTTTTGTGAACCCATGATCTTATTAGCCTATGCATATGAGTGTTAATCTACTTTCTCCTACATACCAAACACACCCTTTGAGTTTGCGAGGCTTCGAGTGTGGGTGAGACCTAAATCTCTCTTTCTCTCTCTCTAGTTTTGGCTGAGTTGAAGAGGCGGGAACAGATGTATACAACTCATGTGGTCTTTGTGTTGACAGGTGTCACGATGAAAGAGAATCTGTGTTAACAGGTGGCGGCATGCGTAGATGTTGTTCATGCTTCGTAATATGTCTAAGTTGTATTGCAATGAAGCTCTAATGGGACCCAATTCAATTCCAACTCTAATTCAACATGAAAAAATAGTATTAGGGTCGAAACTTTTAGGGTTAAAATTAGGGTTGAAAAGTTTCAATTTGAATTGAATTTTGATAAAAAAAAAAATGGGTTCACCGGTGAAACTCAAACCTAATCCAAATTCATGAAATTGGGCTCAACCCAAGTTCATTCCAAATTCATGTATTAGATTTATATAAATAATATAAAATAAAATATAAATACATATGTTTGTAATTATTATTATTTAAAGAGGAAGTAAAACATGGTTTATAAGGACTATAAATAGTGAAAAAAGATTACACCCCTGTTGTGGGATAAGTTAAAAAGGCAAAAGAAATTCAAGGAGTTGTCATCCTACATCAGATAGACAATTCATGTAACCTCTTCCCTGTATAAATTATTTATAAAATTTCAATACATAAAAATAGGATGTTTGAATAATTTTAACAACATAGCGATTAGATTGATTTTGAACATTTTTTGTTGATGCAATTGGTTTCTTATTTTTTTTGTATTGGTCACTTATTTTTTTTAATTACTTATTAACTTGGATTTTGAATTTTTTTTTAATTTTCTGAGAACTATAGGTTTTCATACATTAATAATTTATTTTTGGTATGAATAATAACTTGATAATTTTATTTATGGATTATAAAGATAATTTAAACTTCATTGATTGATATGAACTAAGAAGTAAACATTAATCATCGGTACTAAAATGCGTGATAAGAAGATCTATTTACAGTGTATTCTAGGTATGAATTAATTTGTAATAAGAAGGATGAAAAATTATATAGTAAGTATATAATTTTTTTTAATGAAATATTTTACCAAAGGTTTTGAAAAAATCGATATACTAAATAACTTACATATCCAAAAATGGTGACATTGTCTATTTGGGTACTGATTTTTGTGTTGTAGTGACGGTGTGTATGCGGTTATTGAGATCAAATGTTAAACTGTTAAACTTTGAAAAAAGAAGTACTAAACTTAGAAATATTATGTATTTTATGTGTGTTTAATAAAAATATTTTTAATTTTATGCAAAATTTTATCGTAAAATTAGAAATTAAACAAAACCAACGTAAATCAAAGTATAAACAATACACTTTTAATATATAATATTTAACAACAATCAGTTAATGACAGTATATTCACAACTAAATCACACGAAAATTAAAAATTAAAAACAATAAACTATTGTCAAAGCATACACCACTAAACCAACACAAAAAAATCATCAATATTCATAAACACACATAAATGTCAAACATTTGCTACCTGCACAATTATAAAAATTAAACATAAAATATTTGATAACTACCCACATAATCAGTTTGTCATCCTCCATAAAGCATACACCTCCAAAATTCCAACCAATAGGAATTGAGTATTGAAGCCTCACATGAGGCTAAACTCCACTTATAAAATTTATGCTGGAAAGTAAATAAAGATAAAAGAATTGGTTATAAGCAATTGGTAATTCTAGCATTAGTTATAGATATAGACCCCACACATGATCTAATAAATGTATTAAAGATGCCTTAAAGTTATATGAAGAAGAAGAATTTTAAGAAAAGTTCTGGGGTTATAATATTATTTTTGAAACTTAAGGAATAATAATGATGTTTCTAAAAATCAAGGGGTAAAAATGTAAATACACTACAATTATGGGGGTATAAATAGAATTTGAGATTGTCTTCTTTGCTTTCTTTTCCGGACGACGGGAAGCCATTGTTGATAATTTTAAGATGTGCATTTTTTATTTAATTTATCCACTTGGACTATTATTTTGAATTTTTATCACTAAAAATCCATTAATATAATTCAATTGTGGGTGGATGATGGCTGGGGGCCGGGGCGGGGGCGGGGGCGGTGGAGGTGGAGAGGAGCAGAGGCGGTAGCTTAGATCACTTGGGCTATGGGCGATATCTACGCATCAATTTCACACCTATTATTATATTAGTCAAGTTGCTACACCATCAAACAAATTACTTTATGATTGGTCAGAACCCAAATGGGGTGGTAGTATTTTTTGTCACTATTTCTTCTTATTTTATTGATTTATGCGAGACTTATGGAACTTGTAACGTTTGTTTCAATTGCATAGTAATTGTACCAGTGTATATACATTCACACTTACCAAAGATGGAGATTACCAGTAAGAGTACTTTTGGAGGTTAGATCACTGTCAATACAATTTGTATGAAAGATAGTAGATGGTCGGAGTGGGTAAGTCCAGTGGGTCTTCAGATTATGTCGTGCGCCGTTGAAGAATGTATGTCTATCGTTAGAGTCTACACAGAGAGATGAGAGATTGAGGAGGATGACAATGATTTCTGAGAAACTAAGAGAGGTGAGACAGTTAATGGGGAAAAGAGAAAGAGTTTGAGCTATGTGTTAGACAAAATGGATAATATGTGGGTGTAATTAAATTGGTAGGATTCAGGGGCGGAGCCACCCTTGGACCAGGGTGGGCACATGCCCCCCTCAAATTTTTTTTTGACATTAGATATATATTTTTTAAAATAAAATTTAAATATATTTAATTGTGTCCAACCTTAATTTTTTTTACAATAAATATATCTTTTTTAAAATAAAATTTAGAAATATTTAATTATGTCCACCTTATTATTGTATTATTGTGATATCGATTAAGATAGACAACTACTTAAATAATAATTAATTTTTAATTAATGTTATTGTAACTAATACATTATGATATTAAATCTAATAGTGAGTCCCTACATTTAATAATATCTACTATCCATCCAATGGTCACAAACCATTGGGTTCCTGCCAATTAAATTTTTAATTTTTTTTTGTCAAGATATAAAATTAAATTTCGAATTAGATGCAATTACTATTACTCTTAAATTTTTAGACACAGACTTGTTCGAATAAATTTTAGACATATTGCGTTCATTTTTGTAAATTATATGATTATTTTATTATTGTATAGAAATGAGCGTTATGATATAATAAATTACAGGGTAATAAATGAAAGACTGTTATTACCATTTTTGTATATAGAAAAAAAGTATTTATTGATATTATTGATTTGTAATTCTTTTAAATGATAAACAATAATCAGAATTAATTGTAAATTGATAATAATTAGTCTCATACGAATTTTTAATTTATTTTATTTTATTTTTTGTTTGTTCATTCCATGCAAATCGTTTTTTAACCTTTTATGTTTAATGATTTTTTACGCATAATTATAGTAAATATGAATTTATGAACTTCTATGGTCAATTGAAAAAAAATGAAAAATATTATTTATATCTAATTTGATGACATAATTCAATGCACCATTTGATTGAAAGTAGATTTCATCTAACTTTGAAATTTACAACTAAAATAACAGTTACATTGAATTAAGTCATTGGTAACATTGATAAAAAAAAATAATTAAAATTTATTAATGTACCCTAAAGTATTTGTCTGACTCCGTCCCTGGTGGGATTTTATTTTTGTGTAGGATGTGTTGTGAGCCATTGGATTAAGTTTGATGAATTTAGATGAAATTTAGATCATTTAATTTAAAATGAATTCATTCTGAGTTGTTATTCTGCTTTTTCAAATTTACGATAAAAATGTATGAGAGATAGGAGTTTAGAGTCTTACGATAAGAGGCTTCTTCATGGGCGGGAAAATAAATTCAGGACTAACTGTAGACCGTTAGATCAAAAATTTTGAGATGATCTGAACCGTCTTTTATGTTGGGATTACGTTCTCCGTTGGATGTGTTTTTATTTTATCTCAAAACGATATGGACCTCTCTTTGTCTTTTGGATTCAAACTTCGTTCTACTTTATTATATAGATGTAATAATTCAATATTATGCAAAAGCTCATACCTAATTTAAGATTATTATTTGTTAAACTTGAATTGCCAATCCGAATTAGACTCAAATCGGATAACTCGATTTCAATACGAGCTTACTCGAAATTAACTTGGGCAATATGCAGTTTGAATATCTCGGCTTAGGGTTAGAGTTAAGGTTAAAAATATTGTACCTAGGATTGGGTTATGGTTAAAACTTTAACCAGTTCAAGTTACACTTCTAAAAATTAATATCATTTCTACATAATACTTGACAAACTTGATAGATAAGCAGCAGACAAGAATCATCTTAACATAAAAATCAAGATGACTTTAATAGAATTCACAAAAACACAATTATTTTGTGACTAAATTATAAAAAGATTAAAATAATTTAAATATTGGTTGAATTTGACAAGAATTTAAATTTTCGTTT